GACCTCTTCTGTCTTTTATCCTCCCAACACCTATCCCAGTGGCAAGCATTTGATCATTGGTTGCCATGCACTTTGTGCATTCAGTTCAGTATACTACCCACTGTTACAGCTTCTTGTGTTTCTATCACATGATACATCTGCTACCCTCACTCTGCTGCTTAAGATCTCCATTCCGGGCGTGTGCTATTCTCCCTGTATGTGGTGCCCTCCCAACGAGTCCTGCCCTCTCCATGTGCACTGCAACCAATCACGACACGCAGGTCGCTCAAGGGGCAAGGCCTCACAGGGAGCATACACTCAGAGATCTCCAAGCTCTCCACCCTCACCGTGCTGTGGATACACATGCTCACCACCCTCACCGTGCTGTGAGTACACATGCTCACCACCCTCACCGTGCTGTGAGTACACATGCTCACCACCCTCACCGTGCTGTGAGTACACATGCTCACCACCCTCACCGTGCTGTGAGTACACATGCTCACAATCAACGAGTCCCCCCCGCACCGTGCAGAATATTCCTGATTCAGGGTTCACACACAGCATCGCTCATGCACCTGCTATTCATTATCCAATGCTCACGCAGTTCGCTGCTTCACCTCTGCCCCCTGCACCAATTCGCCTTCCTCCATTCACCTGTTTTCTTCCTCCCTGCATCGCTTGCCGAGCTGGCATGGCAGTGACCTGCAGTCCAACCGGCTGGAAGGCAAGATGGACGCCTTCACTGCCAACATCAAGGCGCCTCTTGTGCTCAAGGAGCTGTCAGTCCCTGCCCCCACCCACGCACCCTTCCACCCTTCCATCCATCCATCCGTCTGTCCACCCGCCCACCCCTCCTTCCATCCAACCATCCTCCTTCGCATCCACCCACACCACCGTTCAGCTGGTTGGCAGATGAATTTCAGGCTTGAATGTCGAGTCCCTGACCGGTCTGCTTTATACAAACTGGTCACTGCCACTGCTGCCTCTCTCACCTCGCCTTCCATTGGCTTCGTGCCCCACACACTTGACAGCACAAGCAAGAAAATGCTACAAGTTGACAAGAACTAACGAAAGATAAATAATCTCATCCCTCGGTCCTCCATTCCCCCTTGCCCCCATCCCCCGTGCACCCATGCAGCTACCTGCAGTACAACTACCTCTATGGCACCTTCCCCTCGACCCTCCTCACCCTCAAAACGCTCTCAACAATGTGAGTCACTTTCAGAAATAACTATGAAAGATGTAGCAGGACACACGTGCTTCCTTCATTTTAGTCTGCCCCATAATTTCCTCGCTTCCTCTACCACCACATCATATCCCACCACATGCCTTTTCACCACATGCCTTTGAACCACCTGCCTTTTCACCACCTGCCTTTTCACCACCTGCCTTTTCACCACCTTCCTTTCAACCACCTGACTTTCCACAACCTGCCTTCACACCATCTTCATATTCACCATCTGTCCTTCCACTTGTCTTCTCCCACCCTCCTCCACCACGCCATCAGCTCCGTGGCCTTCAACTACCTCACCGGATCGCTCCCCACCGCACTCCCCACCACGCTCGCCTCTCTGGACGTGCAAAGCAACTTCCTGGCGGGTTCCGTGCCGGCCAACAGCATTGCCTACTGCGCCAGCACGGGCAACTGCCTGGTGGACGCGTCCAAGTGTGCATCACTAGGACTGGCACAGCGCAGCGCCGCTGAATGTGCCGTCTGTGGCTCCACCAACGGCCAGGGCGCTCTGTGTGCTGCTGCCACCAGCTGCCGGGTTGCTGCTGCTGGGGCTGGGGTGGCGTCCCCCCCTACTGCACTTTCTGCAAGCCTCACTCTCTTCTGCGAGGCTATTCCCATGGACTTAGCAACAAGTGAGTGTGCTCTTGTGCTTTCTTTGTGCACCTATAATATGTCAAACGGTAAGTGCATACAAGGTATGTGCATAGCCAATCCTAAGCTAAGGTCAAAGTCACCCAAAACAAAACAGAATCAGTCCCCCCTAACCACCTCTGTTATCTCATTCCCCCTCATGCTCCCTTGGTTTGAAGGAGTGACGGATTTAGAAACAGGTGAGTGCAGAGGCAAGTACTCCCAGTTACGTTTTGCCCAAAACGTCTAACACGGAGCTAAGGACTAGTTCTGATTTTCCATGCCACGTAAGGGATACCCGAGGGGCTGGGCTTTAGGATGCGATACAGGTTTGTTACCATTTCTCAGGAGCTAAGTGGTGAAAACATGTGATGCCTGCTACAAGTGCCTACATCACCACCTACCCACCTGCTCTCTCCTCTCTCCTCCTGCACTCACCTCCCATGCACGCCTTGCAAGCACAAACGATGCTAGCCGTCGAAGCTGCACTGGGGGTGACGCTCACAGACTGGGCAGGGTCTCAGGGCACGTGCACATTGGAGGGGCAGACTCCCGGCCCAGGCGCATGGACCGGCGTCTATTGTAGCTCAACAGGGGCTGTTGTAGGCATGTGAGTGCTGCCATGCTATGCCATCCTTCTGTGGGCATGTGAGTGCTGCCATGCTATGCCATGCTTCTGTGGGCATGTGAGTGCTGCCATGCTATGCCGTGCTGCTGTGGGCATGTGGAAAGTTGCTCTTTTGTTGCCACTGAAGCTTGATTGTGTTGTGTACATGTAACATGGATGGATTGAGTGGTAACCTGCTGTCTTTCGCTCTTTTGCTTCGCTCTCCTTCTTTTCTGCTTCACTGTGCAGTGTGCTGCCAAATAGGAAGCTGAGTGGAAGCCTCTCAACGGACATCACAAAGCTCACAGCCCTCACAATGCTGTACGCCCTTCCATGTCCCCTTCCTGTTGTGGACCCTGCCATAGTTATCTGCCCTGTCCTGCTACTTGTTGGTCGAACCCAGCTTACTGGCTCGTCTTCCTTTTTTTCTTTTCACCGAATCGCTTCTGTTCGTGTTTGCATGTGTCTGCATGCATGCGTGCACGTGTGTGCATGCATGTGTGCATGCATGTGTGCATGCATGTGTGCATGCATGTGTGCATGCATGTGTGCATGCATGTGTGCATGCATGTGTGCATGCATGTGTGCATGTGTGCATGCATGTGTGCATGCATGTGTGCATGCATGTGTGCATGCATGTGTGCATGCATGTGTGCATGCATGTGTGCATGCATGTGTGCTTGTGGTTGCATGCATGTGTGCTTGTGGTTGCATGCATGTGTGCTTGTGGTTGCATGCATGTGTGTGCATGCATGTGTGCAAGTTCGTGCATGCATGTGTGCATGTGTATGCATGCATGTGTGCATGTGTGTGAATGCATGTGTGCATGCATGTGTGCATGCATGTGTGCATGCATGTGTGCATGCATGTGTGCATGCATGTGTGCAGCGACCTGAGCTCCAACCTCTTCTAGCGCCGCCTGGATGTCTTTCTCTCTGCCGTCTCTTCCCTCAAGGCACTCAAGAACATGTACGCTTCACCACCGTCCACTAGCATTGTTCATCTGCTGAATGCTTGATAATGTCGACTGTCAACCACACACAGAACCCCCCCCCCCCCCCCCCCCCCCCCCCCCACCACATGCACACAAACATGCACACGCACACGCACAAACACATTCACACATACGTACATACCCATACAACGCACACATACCCACACACAATTCTGTTAACCCACACACATACACACACACACCAACACACACACCCACACTCACACACGCATGCTATGAGGTGCACATTGACATGGTATTGGGTGAACATTGACATGATATTGGGTGAACATTGACATGGTATTGGGTGCACATTGACATGGTATTGGGTGCACATTGACATGATACTGTATGCTGTGCTGTGTGTGTATCGAGTCACTGAACGTTGTTTTGTGCTGCAGCATGAATCCGCTTCTAATCAATTTCCCTCCTGAAATGCCCCTCACGTCACATCACTCCCCAACCACAGTCACCTGCAATACAACTGGTTTTCCAGCTCCATCTCCTCCTCCCTCATCGCCCTGTCTGCTCTCTCCACCCTATGAGTGATCCCCTCTCCACCCTTGTGCGTGCTTTAAAAAGCCCCAAGCATTATTTCCACCCCCATCCTGTACACATTCAGTCAATGCTCCCGCAGATACACGCCCTCTCCCACACTTGCCTCACTCTCAACACACATGTTCATGTTCATCCCCACTGGACCCTCTTCCTCCTCCACCCTCCACTACCCAACACCTGTTCATGTTCTTGCTCTGCCAACACCTGTTGTTGCAACAAGCTCAAGTGCAACTGCCTTATGCTTGCCCAACTCTCAGACCCTCAACCCCGCCTTTCTTCCCTTTCCTCATGCTCCTTCCACTTTCCCCTCCCTCGCCCTTCCTTCCCCCGCCCCCACCCCCCACCCACACTTCCACGCACAGCAAGCTGAACCGCAACTATCTGACGGGCACAATGCCTGCTTTCAAGACCTCGCTCAAGGTCTTGAACGTGGCCAGCAACCTGCTCTCGGGCGCCTTTCCCGCCATCTCCCTCACCGCCTGCGATGCCCGCTCCAACTGCCTCTCCATCGCCACCAAGTGCGCCAACGCTGCCGGCACGGCACAGCGTGCAACCTCAGAGTGCAGCGTGTGTGGGTCCACCGATGCTTCTGGCGTTCTGTGTGGGGGAGGGCTGTGCGCCCCTGATGCCTCCGCCCCTGCTGCCTCCTCCAACCCCAATACTGACGGCCAGCTGCTGCTGCCACTGAGGTGCCTGGGAGTGCCCATGGATGCGGCCATGGGGTTGGCGCTGCTGAGTGTGAAGGCATCGCTGGGTGTCACGTTCACGGATTGGAATGTGGATGCGCCGTGTGCACTGGCAGGCCAGGCCGTGGTGCCGAGCTCGTGGTCGAGCGTTGTGTGTGACGCCACTGGCAAGGTCCTCAGCCTGTGAGTGCAGGGGGGCTGCTTGGGGTCTCTTCTTTGTCGTTGTGTTATGTGTGTGTGTGTGTGTGGTTGGGCACAGGCTGTCGTGCTCCTAGAGGATCACACTTGTGCTTTGCCATGCAGCGTAGCATCATGTCATTTGAGCCTTCATCTACTACTGCTGCAACGTCACCGTGTCATCTTTATCATTCTCCCTTGCTGGTGAACCACTGTGCACCATCTTGCGCCACACACACGCAGCACACTGGGCACTCAGCTGCTGCCAGGGACTGTCAACTCCTCTGTGTCAACACTCACCTCTCTCACCAGACTGTAAGCTGCACCCTCTATTTGCCACCTCACTGTGTGTTGTGAATATTCACCTTTCTTTTGCAGTGGGCACATAAGTTTCACCTTACATTCTCTAGGGCTCATCTTCTCACATCACATGCTCAGATGCTCTCGCTGTCACGTGCTATGCTCACCATCTCACGTTGGCACATGGACATACGACACACTCTCATGCTCACATGCTCTGTGCTGCACGTGTGCCGGCTGTGCCATGCTGCACGTGTGTGGGCTGTGCCATGCTGCACGTGTGTGGGCTGTGCCATGCTGCACGTGTGTGGGCTGTGCCATGCTGCACGTGTGTGGGCTGTGCCATGCTGCACGTGTGTGGGCTGTGCCATGCTGCACGTGTGTGGGCTGTGCCATGCTGCACGTGTGTGGGCTGTGCCATGCTGCACGTGTGTGGGCTGTGCCATGCTGCACGTGTGTGGGCTGTGCCATGCTGCACGTGTGTGGGCTGTGCCATGCTGCACGTGTGTGGGCTGTGCCATGCTGCACGTGTGTGGGCTGTGCCATGCTGCACGTGTGTGGGCTGTGCCATGCTGCACGTGTGTGGGCTGTGCCATGCTGCACGTGTGTGGGCTGTGCCATGCTGCACGTGTGTGGGCTGTGCCATGCTGCACGTGTGTGGGCTGTGCCATGCTGCACGTGTGTGGGCTGTGCCATGCTGCACGTGTGTGGGCTGTGCCATGCTGCACGTGTGTGGGCTGTGCCATGCTGCACGTGTGTGGGCTGTGCCATGCTGCACGTGTGTGGGCTGTGCCATGCTGCACGTGTGTGGGCTGTGCCATGCTGCACGTGTGTGGGCTGTGCCATGCTGCACGTGTGTGGGCTGTGCCATGCTGCACGTGTGTGGGCTGTGCCATGCTGCACGTGTGTGGGCTGTGCCATGCTGCACGTGTGTGGGCTGTGCCATGCTGCACGTGTGTGGGCTGTGCCATGCTGCACGTGTGTGGGCTGTGCCATGCTGCACGTGTGTGGGCTGTGCCATGCTGCACGTGTGTGGGCTGTGCCATGCTGCACGTGTGTGGGCTGTGCCATGCTGCAGCGAGCTGGGCAACAACCTCTTCTCAGGCCGCCTGGATTCCTTCCTCACCCCTCTTCTTCCCGTCAAGACCCTCAAAGTCCTGTGAGTTGCACTTGCTCCCACAACCCCAACCACACTGCACCCCCAACCCAACCACACTGCACCATTGCCGCACCTGGGTGGTCTTGCCTGTCTTGCCCGTCTTGCCTCTCTTGCATATGCCTCTCTTGACTGTCTTCAACCTCTTCCCCATGTCTTCCCATGACAATCATGCATCCCATATATGGCACGCAATTCAAATACCGCACACTGTGATTCAGCACCCTTATTTCTGCTCTTACCCCTCCCCTCCCAGCCATGTGCACAACAACTACCTGTCGGGTGCTGTGCCACCATCATTCACTGCTTTCGCCGCCCTCTCTGAACTGTGAGCTCTCTCCCCTCGCCTTGTGCCATGTTCCTTGCATATCGAGTTTCGAGTCTATTCTATTTCTGTAAATTCTCTCCCTCATGTATCTCACTTCTTCATATACCTCCCTCCTTATTGTCATATGCTCATGACATCACCATGTGGACTTCCCTTCCATCCCCATTCCCTTCCCCTTTACAGCAAGATCCAGGGCAACTACCTGACGGGCAGCATGCCGGCAGCGCTGCCGGCGTCCCTCAAGTACCTGGACGCATCAGGGAACTACCTGGTGGGAACGTTCCCCACCACCACCACCACCTACTGCAGCTGCGCCAGCAACTGCTTCAAGGACAGCACCAAGTGCACCAGCGGCAGCACGCAGCGAGCAGCAGCAGCATGTGCCATCTGCGGCAGCACCGATGCCACCGGAGTGCTCTGTGATGGCGGCACGTGTGCTCCCAGTTCGACGGCTCTGATCGCAGCAAAGACTGTGAATACGGGGACGGCTGAGATGTACTGCGCGGGTGCTCCCATGGATGCTGCCATGGGTGAGTGCAGCGAGCAGTGAGGCCAGGCAGGAGGGATGTGTATGTGAAATGGGTACATGTGAGAAAGTGGTTGAACAAGGGAGAGAAAGAGTTCAAGAGCCTTGCAGGAGTGCCTGCTCCTTTCTCTACGACCACTGTACCATCTATGATCTCAAAAAAGATCGTATCCCACAGTTCACCTTGCTCCAAGAATCAACCACATTGCCTTACCCAACCTGTCCACCACTCCCCCTTCCCCTTCCCTCCCCAGCTGCGGCGCTACTGAGTGTGAAGGCATCGCTGGGAGTGTCGTTCACGAGCTGGGCGGTGAGCTCGCCGTGTGCCGTGGAGGGAGTGGCAGCACCGCCAGGCGCGTGGTCCAACGTCCTCTGCAACTCCGCCTTCAAACCCGACTCCCTGTCAGTCACCCATCTCCCTGTCAGTCACCCGTCTCCCTGTCAGTCACCCGTCTCCCTGTCAGTCACCCGTCTCCCTGTCAGTCACCCGTCTCCCTGTCAGTCACCCGTCTCCCTGTCAGTCACCCGTCTCCCTTCCCTGTCAGTCACCCACTCCTCACACCGCAGCTGACTCGCCCACGCCGCCGCTACTGCTGCTGAGAGTGATCAATCTTGAACCTTAACCGCACGAGCTCATTTCTGAAGCACTGCCTGAAGTTCTTTTTCGAACAAACCGCCTTAGCTGTGTTTGGCTGTTGTTTGGATGAGCAGCAAGCTGTCGGGGCAGAAGCTGGCAGGAAAGATGCACTCTGACATCTCCAAGCTCTCCACCCTCACCTCCGTGTAAGTTTATTTTTACGTCTCTCAAAGGTCTCTCTCCCCAACCAACATCCCTCACTTCCACGCCACGTGTTAGTATCCCCATTCGTGCCTTCCATGTTTGGGTTTTTTTATCGTCCAACTTCGTCAGCCTCCCTTCTTAACCAACTCCCACATTCATATATCAGATGCATTCACTGTATCCTGTATGACACACCAATTGACTTATGCACCCACCGCCACTGCTTGCTTATCTACTCATTCCAAATCGACCCTTGTTGCTGTTTATCCTCGTTGTCTCTCAACCCCTAATGGATTTACCGTGCTGTCTTTGATTCTCGTCTTTCGTGCTTATCTACCTTGTTCAACTCAACCCGTGGTGCTGATTCAAGCCCTTCTCGCGTGTCCGACTCAAGACCGAGTATGTATACACCCCTCACCTCTCTCCCTCCTCTTTAAACCTCGTATGTATACCACCTCTCTTTTAACCCCGTACAGCGATTTCAGCAGCAACCTATTGCAGGGGCGTCTGGATGCATTCACAACCGACTTCAAGGCGCTCACCTCGCTCAAGCAAGCGTGAGTGGCGAGGCCATGGTGTCCCTTGGCACGAGGGCAGAGCAGAAGGTGTAAACATGTAGAGCAGAGCAGAGTAGCTGTGAGCTTGCAGAGCACACAAGCTGCAACAGAAGCATTAACTTCAGAGGAGGCACACTGCTGAAGTAGCCACCATGTGGAGCTGCCTGCCGCAACTGTCGCTCCCTGCCATCTCATCCTCTTTATCAAATCTCCCCAGCTTCCCTTCTCGCCCTCCTATCTGCATCCTTCTCTGCTTCCCCCAAACTCCCCCCACTCCCCTTTTCTCCCCTGCCTTTCCCTCCACTCCCCTCCTATCCTCTCAGAACTCACCACATCTCCTTGCACCACATCTCTCATTTCTGCCCACACCTCTACTCTACCCCCACCTGCCTGCCTCTCCATCTCAACCCTCGCCCATGGCAGCAACTTCAACTTCAACTGGTTCGCTGGGTCCATCCCCTCGGCCCTTGTCGGCATCACCTCCCTCACATCATTGTGAGACCTCCTTGCCTTCTGATTCTCAGGCCTTCGCTGATGCTGCTCAATTGCCTTCGCTGATGCTGCTCAATTGCCTTCGCTCCTGTTGCCCCATTGCATTCGCTCCTCCTGCCTCACTGCATCTTTTTCCGCCTCTCACCTTTACTCTCACTTTCCTCGACTCTCAGAATCTATGACCCTCACCTCATTTTCCCACTCTTTACCCCCATGCTCACCTCCTCACTCTCCCCCCATCAGTGCCGCGAGCTACAACTACCTGTACGGCCCCGTGCCAAAGCTCGGCACGGCTCTCAAGACTATCGACGTGCAGAAGAACTGGCTGTCCGGCACATTCCCCGGCACTGGCTTCCTCTCCTGCTCTGCCTCCTCCAACTGCCTCGCCAGCGCAGGCGCATGCAACTCCATAGGCACCACACAGCGCCCATTGACTTCTTGCGCCGTCTGTGACTCTCCCACTGGGGCTGATCCCATCTGTGCCGGCGGCACCTGTGCTCCCAACACTGCCGGCCCGCTTGCCACCTCCACCACCCCCACCGCCTCGTCTCCCATTCTCCCTCGCTTCTGTGTGGGTGTGCCTTTGAACGCATCACAAGCCGCAATTCTCCTCTCTGTGAAGACGGCTCTCGGGGTCACCTTCACCGAGTGGTCTGCCAGTACCCTTGCAGTAGCCCCCAAGGCCAAGACCCATGGCCGTGAAGTCAGGAATGGGCCCAAGGGGACGGGACGGCGGCGCTTGGTCGAGAGTGAAGCGGGCAGGGAGAGGGTGCTGCTGGTGGCTCCACCTTCAGGGCAGGCGGGCCTGTGCACGATTCAAGGCCAGACGCCCGTGCCTGGCTCCTGGCCAGGCGTGTTCTGCTCTTCTGCCGGCATTGTCATCGCCCTGTGAGTGCTGTGCTGCTGCCCTGCTCTCCTGAATTACCCCGGCTGATGTGCTGCTGCTCCTCTGCACGCACTGCCACACCTTCCCTGCAATCCCAAGCCCCAAGAAGTTATTGTGCCGATTCTTTTAGCTCTTATGTGTGAACCCACTACGCTAGCCAACCCCTGTCCTCATGCCTGACTTCGAATCACCACGCTGTCTTCTCCTGCTGCTCCTCTTCCCCTGCTGCCCCCCCTGCGCGCTCCCGTCTGTGTGGTGGGCAGGGATCTGCGGAGTTTCCTGCTGCGAGGCACCGTGCACGCCGACATCACCAAGCTGTAAGTTGTTGGGGGGTGACTGTATACGACTCGACTCGAGCATTCATATTCTGAGTCGATTGAAATGACACCGTGGGCGCAGGCATTTCTAGACTCACCACACGCATCGCACTGTAAGGCCTTAAATTCGCATTTTGAGCTAAAGATGTTAGGGGTTGATGTTTTAAATATGCTCAGTGGGGTTTGGCACAGGCGACAAGACGGGATTTTCTCTTTATGGGCAGATAGCACGATGTTCGCAACCCATAAAGCACTCATCTCACCCGTATTTCGTATTACAACATGCACATTCGTTAGAGCATTCAACCAATATCCCTCCGTCCCACAATCTTCAGCTATACTTATCGTTCTCGCCATGATTTCCCCCCCATGCACAGCTACCTTAATGTGTTCCCACCACTATGAATCCCCTCTGTGTGCTCCCACCCACAGCTACCTGTGGTCCAACCTCTTTAACCAGCGCCTTGACTCCTTGGTGGCTCCTATTCTGCCCTCGGCCTCTCTCAAGGAGTTGTGAGTGCACCTCATGCCCCGGCCTCTTCAGAGGAAGCTGCAAATGCTGCAACTCGCACGCACACAACCTTATCGGGCCTATGATTCTCGGTTCAGTACCTTTTCTCTCCGGGACTAAGGGCTACTGTTGTGACCCAGACTGCCATGTGTAGGATCAGAGATGCAGGGTCGAAGCTTGCTGCACAGCCAGCCCCCACACGTTCTTCCATGCCCCACCTGTTGAAGACCTTCTCAATTTATTCTCTGCACCATCTCTACTGCTACTGTGTTGCATGGATTTGTCGTGCTCAGTTGCTGACACTGGTCTCTCACCGTCTCATGCGTTGCTCTTCATCTGCCATTCTCCGTCCTGATTGCTCCTATCCCTTCAACGCATGTACGCGTTGTGTTCTCGTGTGCATGTGTGTGTATGCCTGTGTGCATGCATGCACTGCACCATGCATGCGTCTCTGCATGTGTGCATGCCTGCACGTGTCCCACCAGGGCGGTGAGCTTCAACTGGCTCTACGGCTCTGTGCCATCCAAGCTCGTAGCCATGGCCGCCCTCTCCAATCTGTAACAACCCGCGCTTCCTGTCTCTTGCCTTCTTTGCAAGAGATGTCTGGAAACTCTAACAGAAAACAAACACCATAACCATTTTCACTTCACCATCCACCCCTACTTTCCCCAATGCACCATTCCTTTCCATCCCCCTCTACTTTCCTTTCAAATTCTTTCCATCCCTTCGTAACCCATCCACCTTTTTGTTCATACTCCTCTCTTATCCTCCGTTTTCCATTCTCCACCCCTCTTCCCTATCTTCCCCCTCGTCTCCCATCCATCCCAACCACCAGTCGCTTCAGCTACAACTATCTGACAGGCTCGGTGCCCAAGCCCGGTGCCACCCTCAAGGTTCTCGACACGCAGGCCAACTTCCTCTCAGGCACCTTCCCCACCGCCACACTAGCAGCCTGCAATGCTCGCCTCAACTGCTTCAACGACGCTGCAGCTTGCCCCAACCTGGACGGAACGTCACAGAGGCCACCAACAGGGTGCAACATGTGTGGCTCAATAACCAAGACACAGCCGACGCTGTGTGGAGGAGGCACCTGCTTGCCCATCGTCTCTCCTTCCGTCGCTAAGGTTCCCAACAGCGCTGCTGCACCCATCCTCCCGATGGCGTGTGCTGCCGTGCCCCTTGATGCCACCTCTGGTGAGCCCCTTCCCTCCTTCCCTCCTGTCAGGCGTGAGTCCGTGAAGTGGCCCCAGATCCCTCGCACCTGCCTTCACATGTGCTGCCGTAATCCTTCATTTTGCCTCCCACGAGTCTCCCACCTTTCTGCCACACCCGTCTTGTTTTCTTTTCATATGCCATCATCCATACTGTAGCATCCTCACACCACCACCACCACCACCACAACCATCCTCGCGTGCTGCGAGCCCATCTCCCGTCACCACACTGCAGACCTGCATGCATCCACTCAGCATCCTCTCTCTCGTCCCTCCGTCCCATTCCACCGGCAGTGGCGGCGCTGTTGAGTCTAGGGGCGGCTCTTGGGGTCAGAGACACGGACTGGCGCAACGGCAGCAAGTGCAACATTGAGGGGCAGGGCGCCAATCCCAAGTCGTGGCCGGGCGTGTGGTGCAACGCCAACGGCACCGTCCTCAACATGTGAGGCTGCCCTCCTGCTCACCTTGCACTCACTCTTTCCACTCCCTCTCTCAAATGGTCCATCTGTTTGATATACACCTGGGAACAAGCCTTTTTAGAGATGCAACGACATACAAGGTGAGTGATGAACGCTGCCTGCCTGCCATTCCACTGTGCATGGAGCTATAGCAAGGAGCGCCGTGAAGGGCTCCAACATGCCAAGCGCATCCCCCGGTCTCATGGACTCGACTCCCTGGGGCACCCGTCGTTGGGCTCTCGGCTTCGAGCGTGGTGTTTTCCTTGATGCTCAGGCCGACCTGCTTCTCCCGTTGAAGCACCACCCACCACCGCTGGTGGTATTGGTGGAGCAGCTTAGCTGCCTGGTAGGTTGAGTGGTCAGCACTGAAGAATGCCTCTCAGCCGCGTTGCCAGGAGCTTGAGGAACATGGGGACTTCAGCACATAGGCACCCATGGGTTTCGGCAGCCATGGAGACGAAGGACACGTGCATATGGTCCTTCATTGCATTTACTCCTGCTAACCCCATGCCTCCTGCTATCCACATGCCTTCTGCTCCCGCTTTCCTATGGCAGCACGTTGCCCAACAAGGCACTGAGGGGCATCATCCATGCCGACATCTCCAAGCTCACTGCCCTCTCCTACCTGTACGTCCAACCCTCAACCTCAACCTCAACTCCTCGCAACCTGGGGCGTTCTCTACAAGCACGTTCTCACTTTCCACACGCATGCTAGGGTCAAGTTGAAGTTTGCACACCTGGGTCCATGCGACTCTTGCCTTCACGGCCTCTTTTCCAACATCTGCTCCCTCTTCTCATCGCACATCTCGCCCCTCCGCTCCCTCTTTCTGTGTTCCTCCTCTCCTACGCCCACTCGCAGCGATCTGTCCTACAATCTCTTTGGTCAGCTCTCCAAGTTCGTCTCCACCATGCTGCCACTCACCACCATGGCCACCCTGTGAGTTCACTTCTGAGCAGCGTCTCACCACAATGGCCAATCTGAGAGTGTCAGTGTACTAGTGGACCACCACCCAACACTCTCCCAGATGAGAACCTGACCTGCCTCCGCTCGGTTCTCAAATCATCCAGCGTTGTTTTTTACGTTTTAGACCGGCACATCACCTAGCTTGTTGAATTACCTACAGGGGAAGAAGAGGGGGCAGGGGTCACAAACCTGTGCTTCATGGGCTGACCCAGGACGGACCAGCATGGTAACGCACCTCTGCCCACTCTAACAACTATCATCCGTATGTGCTTCTCATGTGCTCTCATTTCCAGGAACCTCAACTCCAACTACCTCTATGACAGTATCCCATCGGCTCTGGTCAACATGCCTAAACTCACAGAACTGTCAGTCTTGCCATGCCCATGCCCATGCCCATCCCAATGCCCATGCCTATGCCCATGCTCATGCACATCCCCATGCCTTTCTTATGCCCATGCCTTTCCTATGCCCATGCCTTTCCTATGCTCATGCTCATGCCTTTGATATGCCCATGCCTATGCTATGCCCGTGCTCATGCCCATACCCATTCCCCTTAGACCTCCCCCCTCCACCCCCCCCTCCACCCTCCCCCCACCCCCCTCCCCCTCCCCCGCCTCTCCCTTCATATCTCTCCCCTCATTCCCCTCCTCACAGCCGGCTGTCAGCAAACTACCTGACGGGCACGCTGCCAGCCATGGCCTCGCAGCTGCAGGTGCTGGCCATCGCCAGCAACCTCCTGGCGGGCGCCTTCCCCACGCAGCCCTTCCAGCTGTGCGACATCCGCAGCAACTGCCTCTCCTCGCCGGGCTCCTGCACCAACGATGCTGGTGTGGCTCAGCGAACCTCTGGCTGTGCCTTCTGTGGCTCCGCCACGGGCGCCCCGCCTTTCTGTGCGGGCACCGCCTGCACGCCCAATGTCGCTGCTCGCCTTGCTGCCGGGACTGTCAACAGCCCTTCTGCCGCGCTCCCAGCAATGTTCTGCCAGGCCGTTCCCGTGGATGAGAACTCTGGTGGGTGGCTCGCAATGAGATTTGACGGTCTGTTTAGCGCCTCAAAATTCTGAGGCCATTATAGAGGACAACTGTGGTGCGTGAGTAGCATTTGATTGAAAGCTTCTCCTCGTTGCTTGACAGCTTTGAATCATGCCGAGTCTCTGCTTTCCAATCACAACGAAATCAGTGCTCGACCCACCGAACCCTGTTTTTCCTGCTTCAAGATCTGTGCTCTACCCACCCACGCCCAGTGTCTGCCACACTTCACCCTCACCCTCTCCCTCGCCTCCACCATCGATCCTTCCTCTCCTTCCCATCCCACCCTACACTTTCCCCACTGATCCACCCTCTCCTTCCCCATGGCATACTCCCTCCTACCCCTCCCTCCTAATCCTCCCCCTTCTACCACTTTTCTCCTCCCCCTGGCCCCTCCCCCCTGCTCCCCCCAGCGCTGGCGCTGCTGGCACTGAGGGCGGGGCTGGGCGTGAGTGCGAGCAGCTGGGCGGTGGACTCGCCCTGCACGCTGGCGGGCAACGCCCCCGCGGTGGACAGC